CCCTCCATTCCCCACCCGCCTGTGGACACGCATGCTTTCCTCCCACCCCACCCCTGCCTGTGGACACCCGGCTCTTTCCCCGCACCCCCTGGCCTTACCCCGACTCCGTTGTGGCCGCAATCTGTGCCTGCTGCAGGGGGAGCCCCGCCCTGGGGCAGCGCTGGGTCTGTCCCCCGGATCTTCTTTGGCTCTAGTTCTTCCTTGGGCAGGGCCGGGTAGTCGCCACGCTCCGTCTTGCGCTTCCGCCGCCGCTCCACATCCCGGCCTCGCGCACGGGTGGCGCGCCGCTCGGCTTGCTCCAGCTGAAAACAGAACGAGGAAGCGGTGGACCCACGTGTGGAGCATGTTTAGGACTCGGCCTTTGCGGGTATCATTAAGGGGCTTGGGGAAAGGCGGCTGTCAAGTACGGGGATGGAATTTGCAGAAAGCTCAAGGAAATCTAGAAGACTTTTCTGTGAGGGTTCCGGGTCTGCATCCGTCTCCCTGGGAATAGCCCCGCCCTCAAACCGACACCTTCCCCGTTTTCCTCGACTGTTTGCGAATCTCACTCGCTCAAGGCCCTGCCAAAACATTTTGGTCTGTTCCAAACACGACCAAATCTACCATGCAGGAGATGGGTAAAAATGTGGATTCTCTTGGTTACAGGCACAGAGCCACTGTCTGCATCTCTGAAGAGCATCGCAATTGTCGTTTCAGAAGGTCGCCACGTCAGTCTGCGGCAGAACAACGAGATTTGAGTCTCGTCGCACCTCAGACTTTGGGCCCCGACCTGGATGGCCCAAGCTGGCCTTGATCTCATCAGATCTCGGGAGCGAAGCAGGGTCGGCCCTGGCTGGTATTTGGATGGGAGACCTCCAAGGAAGTCCAGGGTTGGGACGCAGAGGCGGGCAGTGGCAAAAACCACCTCTGAAGGCCTCTTTGCCTTAAAACCTTCAGGACGGTGTTCCCTCTAAGCTGAGCTGGTGTGAGCTAGCTCACTTTTTTGAGCCTCCAGCTCACACATTTTTGCCTCTGGGTCAGGAAGGGATGGCTCCAGAGCAAACTGATTTATACAGTATCCGAATCGCTCGCTCACCACTTTAATGCCGGTAGCTCACCAAGTAGGATTTTTGCTCACCAGCCCCAACGGCTTCGAGGGAGCATTGCTTAGGGGTCGCCACAAGTCAGCGGTGGCCTGACCGCACTTTCCACCAACACCAATACCTTAGAGACCAACAAGATTTTTGGGGTACCCCCGACCTGGACAGCCCGGCCAAGCCCATCAGATCTTGGAAGCCAAGCAGGGTCGACTCTGGCAAGTACTTCGATGGGAGACCTCCTTGGAATACCAGAGACGGGAGGGGCAGGCTTTATTCAGCCACCCATCTGAATGTCCTCCAGGCCCCCGGTAGGGGTCAGTCACCAGAGGTCGCCATGACCAATGTTCCCTCTAAACTGTGGGGTCTTGTGAACAAAAATTCTACTTCGTGAGCTCCTGGCATTAAAGTTGTGAGCAAGCGATTTGGCTGCTGCACAAATTAGTTTGCTCTGGAGCCATCCCTTCTTGAGCGAAGGCAAAAAGGTGTGAGCCTGAAGCTCAAAAACTGCGAGCCAGCTCTCACTAATTCAGCTTAGAGGGAACACTGGCCATGACTTCCAGGTGCGCGCACACACTCACACATTAAAAAATACAAAAGATTTTGGGGGCATAATAAGCTCTGTCAAATTGCTGCAGTTCCTACAGAATGCCAAACACAGAGGAACGCGAGGCCACTCCCAAGGTAATCCTCATGGGACTGAGATACTTTGTGCGGCAGTCAAGCGGCTTCTGCTCTGCCTCGATCGGTGTGACGTGCCACATCCCACCAGTGGTCATGCGACTTTCCAGTCCCCTAACGCCATCAATAAGACGCACCCGTTCTTTTCCCCCCGCTCCGGCTAACGGATCTGCCCTCAACTGTGTGAAAATGCTGTCAAATTCGTAGGCAACTCATGGCGACCCCAGCAAGTGGCTTTCAAGGCAAAGGGAGAAGCAGAAGATACAGAATGCCAAACACAGAGGAACGCGAGGCCACTCCCAAGGTAATCCTCATGGGACTGAGATACTCTGTGCGGCAGTCAAGCGGCTTCTGCTCTGCTGTCGACAGATGGATCACCGTCTCTGCCTCGATCGGTGTGACGTGCCACATCCCACCAGTGGTCATGCGACTTTCCAGTCCCCTAACGCCATCAATAAGACGCACCCCCTGCTCCGGCTAACGGATCTGCCCTCAACTGTGTGAAAATGCTGTCAAATTCGTAGGCAACTCATGGCGACCCCAGCAAGTGGCTTTCAAGGCAAAGGGAGAAGCAGAAGAAGAGGTGGGGGGGGTTTTAATACCCCACTTTTCTCTGCACCTTAAGGAGTCCAGAAAGTGGTTTACAATCGCCTTCCCTTCCTCTCCCCACAGCAGGCACCTTGTGAGGTAGGTGGGTGCTGAGAGAGCTCTGAGAGAACTGTGGCTGGCCCAAGGTCGCCCGGCAGTCTTCAC